TATAAAATTTTAAATTTAAATAACAAGCTGGAACCTTGTTACTATAATATTTCAAATTATACTGGTAGCAGAATTAATGTTAATGGTAAAATTAAATTAGACTGTCTATATGAAGACAAGATGCATTCTATTGAGTTTATTATTGTTGAAACAAATAACAATAGTGCTCCAGTGTTAGGCCTTGAAACAGTACAAAAATTAAAAATTTTAAGTTCAATAAATTTAATCTCAAATAACACTTTAGGAAGTGAACAACTAATAAATGAAAATATGGATTTATTTGAAGGCATTGGTAAAATTTCAGGCTATAAATGTAATTTTAAATTAAAAGAAAAGTATGAACCATTTGTTTCACCTTGTAGAAAAATTCCATTCCAATTAATAAATAAATTAAAAATTGAACTAAACCAAATGTTAAATGATGATATAATACAAAAGGTTACAGAACCAACTGAATTTGTTAATCCTATAATTATAGTCAAAAAACCTAATAATGATATTCGAATATGTCTAGACCCGCAAAAACTAAACAATGCTATTTGCAGGGAACATTATCACTTACCTACATTTGAGGATTTAACAAGAGAGATGTCAGGATCAAAAATCTTTTCAACCTTGGATGCAAATCGAGGATTTTGGGCCATTGAGCTTACATATTCATCTTCTATCCTGACCACATTTACCACACCATTTGGAAGGTACAGATTTTGCAGACTACCCTATGGCATCTCAATAGCACCAGAGATTTTTCACAGAACGTATACAGAAATATTTGAAGGTATTCCGGGGGTAAAAATTTATATAGATGATATTATAATATATTCAAAAACTGAAAGTGAACATAAAAATACATTAAATTTAGTTTTAAATAGGGCTAGAGAAAAGGGTGTTAGATTTAATAGATACAAATCAAAATTTTTCTTAGAAGAGGTTAAATATATAGGACATATTATTTCAAAGGAAGGGATAAAGCTAGATAAAGACAAAGTAGAGGCCATTAAACAAATAAAAATTCCAAAAAATTCCAAAGAATTAACTAGATTCTTGGGTATGGTAACATATGTGTCAAAGTTTATACCAAATTTGTCTAAACTAACAACTAATTTGCGTAATTTAATTAAAAAGAATATAGAATTTAAATGGGAACAAATTCATGAACAGGAATTTAATAATTTAAAAACTTTATTAATGACAACACCAGTTTTACGATTTTATGATGAAAAAGCGGTTATAACTTTATCTGTTGATAGTTCAAAAGATGGGCTAGGTGCGGTAATTTTACAAAATGGGGGTCCTGTAGCTTATGCTTCTAAAAGTTTAAATTCATCACAACAACAATATGCACAGATTGAAAAGGAAATGTTAGCAATAACATTTGGTTGTCAACGTTTTCATCAGTACCTATATGGAAAATCATTTTTAGTAGAATCAGATCATAAACCTTTGGAATATATTTTTAAAAAACCGTTAAGTGATTGTCCTTTGAGACTACAAAGACTCAGAATAATTTTACAAAATTATGATTTCACAGTAATATATAAACCCGGTAGTAAACTTTATTTTGCAGATGCGCTAAGTAGAGCTTCTTATAATGATAAAAATTTTGAAATAAATGAACAAGAAATAAATGCTCAAATAAGTATTATATATGATAATAATGTAATAAGTTATAAAAAATTAGAAACAATTGCTGATGAAAATTTGATAGACCAAGACATGATAGATTTAATAAATATAATAAAAGAAGGTTGGCCAGACCATAAAGCAAATTTAAAGTATTCATTACGACCCTTCTGGAATTACAGACATGAACTAGTAATAATTAAAGGTATTGTGTACAAAAATCAACAGATTGTAGTACCTAAAAATTTTCGAAAAGATATTTTGTCAAAGTTGCATTACAATCATTTAGGAATAGAAAAAACTATATTGTTTGCTAAAGAGTATGTGTATTGGCCACTAATGTGTAAAGAAATTGAAGATATTGTGAGTAATTGTACTATTTGCTTGACTTACCAAAATAAAAATCAAAAAGAAACTTTAGTGAATAGGGATTTGCCAAAAAGGCCTTGGGAAATAGTAGCAGGTGACTTATTTTATTTTAAGGGTAAAGAATACTTATTAGTTGTGGATTATTTTTCAAAATATCCAGAAGTTATTTGTCTTAAGAATGATACTACAGCTGAAACTGTTATTAGAGAATTAAAGTCAATTTTTTCACGTCAAGGTAAACCTGATAAATTTTTAAGTGATAATGGTCCACAATTTTCAAGTCATAAATTTAAACAGTTTTTTAATTCATGGTCAATAGAACATATAACGTCAACTCCGCGCTACCCACAAAGTAACGGCTTTATTGAAAGACATGTACAAACTATAAAAAGAATTTTTAAAAAATCGTATCATGATAAAAAAGACATATATCTGTGCTTACTAGAATATAGAAATACTCCCATTGGGATTAATCTACCATCACCAGCTCAAATACTTTTTAGTAGAAAGTTAAAAGGTGAAATGCCCGTTTGTGAAAAATCTCTGATGCCCAGGATGGTGGAGAATGGTATTTGTTTCGGTGAGCTCAGTGGTAGACAAAATAAACAACAGAATTATTATAACCAAAATGCAAAAAACCTGACACCCCTCTTGATAGGTGATAATGTAATGATACTAATGAAAAATAATTTATGGGAGCCAGGTAAAATAGTAAATATTGATAATGATAGGCCTAGAGGTTATTTTGTTAAACATAATGCTAGTGGTCATATTTTTAATAGAAATAGACGTTTCCTAAAACCATTTAAGATTGACAATTTTAATAATAACTATGAAAATTTATATAATGATTTAGTTGATGAATATATATCCCATAATGTAAATAATAGTAGTAAGTTAGAAATTAAGAATAAAAATGTACCAAACACCCATATGACTGAAAACCCAAATTGTGATATTGAAAACCCAAATTGTGATATTGAAAACCCAAATTGTGATATTGTGAACCCAAATAGTGACTTAAAAAACCCGATTTTGACTGAAAGAGATTTAAATATAAATTTAGGAAAGGAGAGAAAATGTGAAGAGAAAGATAGAACACGGTATGGACGACAAATTAAAAAACCTACATATTTAAAAGACTATGTATAATTTTAATATTGTGTTCTTTCTTTGTCTAGTTTATAATTTAGTTATTGTCCAACTTTCAAAAGAAGGGAGGTGTTATATGTTAATTAATTTAGTATATTTAGTTTTATAAGGTTTATGTGTTGGCAACACTTGCAAATGCGGAAGTGTGCCTATCCCTCTCTGTATATCTCTCTCTCTCTCTGTGATGTCGATTGTAATGGAATGGACGTGCAAATATATAATTAAGGAAATCTATTAATGTTTTAATGATAATGAATAATCAGCACCTGTAAACCACATAACAGTTAACATTTCAAATAAATTGGTTTTATTGTCGTATGCTCAGTGGACAGTTAAAATTTTTTGGGTCAACAAAATTTAGCTATCCATTAAATCTTGACCATCATTTGTGCACATCAAAAAAATGTGCCTATTTATAAATTTAGATATATGACCAAATAATATTGAAAAATAACCAAAACAATATTTTTTGTGTTTTACTTACCTTATTTCTTAAAAAAAAAGTGTCATTTTGATGATTTTGACTAAGGGATAGGTAAATTTAATTAAAATACAAAAAATATTTTTGATACAACTTTATTAAATTAAATGACTAGTTTTTCAAATATATAATACTACACGTAATATACATTTTACATTAGTGATATCAAAAAAAGTTAATTTTAATGTATTTTTCAAACCAAAGTATTTTATATAAAATTGCTGTTAATATAATATCCAAGTAATATAATATTAAATAGAATACTGGCATTTTCCTACATACTAAATATTTACAAAGAAAAATATACCTACAATACTATAGTTGTCTCATTTTGATAAATAATGAGTTTGTTTATTAGACGTTTGTAAAAGCCTTTCCCATACTAAAATGGGAAAAACCTTGTTCTAATCTTCTGGAAATCAGTTAATTAATATAATACATTTTACAACTTAAAAATATGCTGTACAAAATATAGTGCATTTATTTCTATTTATAAATCTAAATCATTTTTATTTTTATAAAACATAATTATATATACTTAATTATAAAAAATGTTTGTGCTGTACAAAATATTACGTGTTCTATATTTTTTGTTCAAATTCATGACTAGCTAAATATTTTCCTTTAAAAGTGTTCAGGGCGTAATAAGGGTGTCCAATAGGGTTACTCGTTTTGAATGAACATTATTTTTTGTCGTCCTTAAAGTTTCAGCACTTAATTTTACTTCTAAGTACTTTTATTTTAATTATAAAGTTTTCCCTTTGAAATAACACGTTCTTAAAAAAGTTGCATACTATACTTTGTATAGTATTTCTAACTTGGGAATCTGTATTACCGGCGCCAGTCAAAATGTCAAATTTGTATGTGTAAATAGAAATTTATCCCTGGAAAATGGACAAACAACCGTTACAAGATGATATTGAAGCAGTTTTCACAGTGAAAGTAAAGAGAATGTTACACGGTGGAGTCTCCACCAGAAATTTTTAATGCTTTTAGTTAAATCCAGTACTGAGTCAGTACTACTGACCTTTTGATTTCACTGTAGTAGTGCAGTTAACTAGATTTAACTAATAAAGCGTTTAAAAATTTGCGTACAGTGGCCAAAAAACATTCTCTTCTCTTTTACTGTAAAAAACTGCTTCTATATCGATTGTTAGTTCATTTTCAAGAGATAAATTTTGATTTAAACAGAAAAATTTGAGATTTTAACATTTCCCATGTAAGAATGTTTAATACTTTGTAATACTATTTTGCAATTATGGTGATACAAAAATTATATTTTGAAGTTATTTTAACATTTTAAAGTATCAATAATTGTTAAGTTTAATTACAATAATAACGGGAAATGTTAATGGTGAAAATTACGTCAAAAATGTTTATTTTCGTATACGAGTAGATGTCGATTTATTTGTCGTTATTTGTGGCAATATTTGACAGTAAAATTTATTAAATGCTCTATATCTTTTACATTATACATTTAAAAGGACCTTATTTTATAGGAAATTGAGTTTGCTATAAAAATTGTATTAACTGTTTACTTGTAACTTGTTTGCGGTAAAATGCAAAAATTAAGTATGACGTCATGTATACAGGTCCAAATATATTAATTGTAGTAAAATTGTTGCAAGTTCTTTTAAAGAGCATCTAATTAGGTACCAATGGCACCCACGTAGTAACGTAAAATGTCGCCAAGCTAAAGGAAATTGAAAACTTTTTGTTATTTCAATGGAAAAACTTTAAAATCAAAATTAAATTACTTAGGAGTAATATTATCGATATGTACTTCAATATTTTGCTTGGAGAGTGTCAAAAAATGAACATTCATTATACGGGACACCCTTCAAGATATATTTATTATTTATGGCCGTTTTCATTACTGTTTTATACAAAAATACTAATCTCATCTGCACAGCCACATTGGTATAAATAAAATACCACCTATTTGTGGTAGTCGGTAAATTTCTTAGCATCTTCTTTCGAGACATTTATATTGTCTTTTTTTTTTGGTAACTTACGCGTAAAAGGCGTAATTACCTAAACTATTTGTTATATGGGCGAAGGGAACCAGTGGCGCCGCCAAACGCCAAAATTCGCAATTTTTGTGGTTATGTCTGCGTAAAATCGGGTTTTTCGTATCGATTGGAAGAAACGTCGGCCAATTCGGGAGGCATATCGACGTGAAAGGAAATTCCGTAAGGTCGCAGGTGATATATCAGATATTCCAGAACGTACATTTGATTCGGACTGACGTAATGGAAGGAAACGGCGTTGTCGGAACAACAGTCCATGCCCTTGAAAAAAAAAATAACATTTTTTTGCTCGTCTGACGATTTTATCGCAAACACTACACTTGAGAAACCATAATGACTAAACTGCATTGAAATCTTTCAAGTGAACCAAATGCAATATTTAAATTCCACGAATCACGAACAAAACAAAAACATAAACCTAGTAAAAATGAAAAGCAAAACATTATTATGTAAAAGCACGGCAACATGCGTAAAACAACAAAAAACACATACCCTTTTTGACGAGTTCTAAAATTGCAAACAAAGCATTAAATTAGTAAACGCCACCATGAAACAACAAAACCAAATGTAAAACATGTAAATAGGAAAATAAAGATTAATCGCAAAGAAGTAACCGTTTTACCAAAAAACCTTCTTTTATTTATACTTGTTTTTACAACATACCTCTTTGCTCTCGTAGTAGATGTACTCCCAGTACCAGAAACTTTTCGATACGTGTCCTGGTATCAAATGATGTTCCGGGACGAAGGGGAAAAACCGCCCGCGTCCCAAGGAGTCGCGGGAATCCCCCGCTTTCACTTTGACCGATTCCAAACATTTCCCGATTTCCACGTCTTCGGCCCCTGAGTTGCTTTTGGAACACCCTGTAGAGTTATGCAGACCAACCTGTAAAAAAAAATTGTTTACCTGCTACGCGAAATTTGACATCTGCGTCTTAAGGTTTGACAGTTTTAATTAGCACTAATCTCGACTAAAAATTTCAGAAACGGTAAAAATCATCAAAAAAGTCGAAAATGGTAAAAAATGGTAAAAAATGTCAAAAAATTTTAAAAATCGTTTAAAATGATTTAAAAAACACCCCAAGAACGATAAAAAGGGTAAAAATTCTTCAAAATGCATGTAACAAAATGTTAATAATGGTAAAAAATTCAAGAATGGTAAAAATGGTCAATAAGGACAATTTAAAAAAACGTTAAAAACTACAAAAATGGTCAAAATTCGCTACCCTAGAACAACATGGTTCTATCTGACGAATTGTACATTTTGTGGTATAAAGGTTTAAAATTCAAGTGTTGGAATACATATTTGCAGCCTAAAATTTAAAAAAAAACTGAACTTTTCTTACACATAAATAAATAAATAAATTTTATAAAATTGTCAAAAACGTCTAAATTGGTAAAAAATGTCAAAAATGGTCAAAAATATTTAAAATGTATGATGTATCAGTTTGGCAAAAGTGCAGGAAACAATGCCGAGGTGCATATTAAATTTTATCCGAAATCACATGTAATAATACTAATAATTAATATTGATGAATAAATCAAATGTCATGAGATGATCAAATCAAATGTCATGTATACTGCAGTACTAATTAATAAAATTAACTTATTATTTTTATTAAACAACATTTTATGAAAGGGTCCAATCGACCTCCGCGACAGTGCTTTTTTTTAAATATTATTTAGTTGCTGCTGAGGAGCAGTAGACAAATATTAAATCGGTTCTACTTTACTGCCGATTTTTTTTACTTTACTGCCGATTGTTGACTACTTTACTGCCGATTTCGGATAAAAATAAATATAGTACTAATCTCGACTAAAAAAAATGGTAATAAATGCCAACCGTCAAGAACGGTAAAAATTATGAAAAAAGCCGAAAATGGTCAAAAATTTAAAAATGGTTATAAACGTCATAAATGGTCGAAAATACTAGGGGCATTCCACGTTACTCGGTAATTTTTGTCCCGCCCGTCACAATTAAAAATTGTGAGTAAAAACCACAAGTTTTAAAATTAATATTTTATAATATTATTTTTATTGTGCTTATAACTTATCAAAAGCATAATAAAACAATATATTTAAATAAATTTTATAACGTGTAGTTTTTACTCACAATTTTTAATTGTGACGGGCAGGACAAAAATCCCCGAGTAACGTGGAATGGACCCACTATCAAAATTGGTAAAAAACGTCAAAAGGGTAAAAAAAGTCAAAAATGGTCATAAACTTAAAAATGGGCAAAAAAGCACAAAAACGTCAAAAATGGTCAATAGTCAAGAGTAAAAAAGGTCAAAAATTAAAAAAGAATGTCAATAATGGTCAAAAAAGATGATTAAAAACTAAAAACGGTTTAAAAAAGTGTAAAAAGTCAATAAAAGCAAAAAAAACCGAAATGGTCAAATCTACAAAATGCATGTTTAAAGGATCAGAGTGGAAAAAGTATAGAATTTTTTTAGCATAATCTCGACTTAAAAACATAAAAAAATGTCAAAAATAGTAAAAAATTTCAAGAACGGCGAAGAATGCTAAAAATGCCATAAATGGTCGTAAATATCAAAATTTTTCACAACACTGACTCAAAAACGTCGAAAACTTTCAAAAACGTAAAAAAGTGGTAAAAAGTCAAAAACGACAAAAAACGGTAAAAACTTGCATGTTAAAGGTGGAAAAAGTGAGGGCAGCTAAAATGTCAATTTAAGCATTAATTAATTAAAAGTGTAACAAATGTCAAAAATGGTAAAAAAATTAAAAAATGTCAACAACCGTTACGGTTAAAAATGGTAAAAAAAGTCAAAAATGGTAAAAAGCGTCACAACCGTTACGGTCAAGAAATGTAAAAAAACGTCAAAAATTACAAAAATGGTTGAAAATATCAAAAATGGAAAAAAAAACGCCGCAATTGTCCAAAACATAAAAAATGAACACAAAAATAAGCATTTTTAACAAAAACTTATCAAAACGGTAAAAAAACGTAAAATAAATGTTAAAAACGTCAAAAAGGTAAAAATGGTTATTTTCAGATAACACAAAATTAGTTTGACACTGACAGAAAATTAACCTTAATTATTTGTACTATGCCACCACGGAACGCAGACTTTTGAAAATTTGGCATTTAAGGCTTTTCAGGTTATGTATCTGTCTAAAGTATAGTCAACGAAAGAAATAATATGTTTAGGCGTTAAAATAAATCTTTATAACATTAGAATTATAGCAATGGATGGTTTAAGAATTTAAGAATACAAATACTGCATTTAATGAAATTCTAAAGTGTATGGTGCCAAATAAATAATATTTTTGTGCAATTGGACCAAATATCTGGTTTTCTCCATAAAATAATTTTAACTAAACAGCATTTATTTAAAAAAATCTAGCTTCTCTTTTATGATGGTTTAAGAATTTAAGAATACAAATACTGCATTTAATGAAATTCTAAAGTGTATGGTGCCAAATAAATAATATTTTTGTGCAATTGGACCAAATATCTGGTTTTCTCCATAAAATAATTTTAACTAAACAGCATTTATTTAAAAAAATCTAGCTTCTCTTTTATGGTATAAGAATATTTGTATTAAAGGTAGGTTAATATATTATAACAAAAATATCATCTAATTTTGTAATTTTAAGGTTTGAAAAATTTATTTTGACCAAAATAAATAAGTATTTTGGATTATTTAAAAGACTATATAAAATTGTATTTAAAAATGTGGTAGTTTTTCTTATCCAGCTTAAAGTGTACCTACATAAAGTTTTGTCAATACAAATAAATAAAAAGCTTCGACTGAATTTGATCTACATCACAAAATCATTATAACTTTAAAAATTTTAATAAACCACATGTCATGGGAGTATTAAATATTTTCACATTGCAAGTTTCTCTAAAAATTGTTTGTTTTCTTATAATCTAACCTAAAGTAAGTATGCCGAGAGGTATGCACAAGTTTTGTCGTTAGAAGTATAAAAGCTTCAATTTAATTTGAATTATATTCAACAATTATTTAGTATACCTATATTTTTTTATGACCATATTAACACACTCTTTCAAATAATCCACTTATTAATTTTGGTCAAAATAGATTTTTCTAACCTTAAAATACAAGAATTGTAAACAACAAAAATGGCCGCCATTGAATGATGTGCAGTGTTGCATTGATTTTTAGTATTTTTACTACGAGATCGAACAGACCTTGTTGTGTGGATTGTGGAAGCAACCATCGTCGGAAACATTATACAAAATGTCAAAGGAAGATAAGAATTATTTGGAGTGAAATAATGAAAATGAACTTTTAGTTTAATAAACATAAGGGTTTCTTACCTCTACGAATCTTTTTAACGCCTCTTTACTCAAAACATAACCAGCTCCGCCGCTCATGTAACCCTGTTTGACGTATGGTTTGAATCGGCAACCATAATACACGGGTTCGGTGGGTTTATGCGGAACAAGCATGTATCTTAAGTTTTCTAATATCACATATCTAAAAAATAAAAACACCATATTTCCATGGAAGTGTCTACAGTTACGAGGCAATGTCATAATTTATTATAAACTTTTTATTTTTTTTTTTATTTTTTTACTTTATTTAACGATATTATGCTGGTAGGTGAGTAAGGAAATTAAAAATATAAAATGTTTTATATGGTTATTAAAGGTTACATATGAGGCGCCGTTTGTGCCATAATTAATCTCTCCTATATATATTTAATTTTGCATATTTATGTATGTTTTACAATATATATATATATATATATATTTATTTCATTTATACATGTTTTCTATATATATATTTATTTTTATAAATATATATATATATATATATATATATAAATAAATAAATTTATATTTAAATGTACAAATATATATTTGTATTTGGTTTTAATATATTTATAAAATTCGACTTCACCCGTTGATCGCTAGAGGCGCTGCTCAACTGATCAAATGTGTCAACGCTGTAGCTAGGGCCTCACCGAATTAGCCAATGGGAGGTTTTGTTTACCAATTTAAAATAACGGTAAACATTGTTTTCCCTGTGTTGTCATTATTTTATGATACAAAGATTTAATTTAAGTGTATGTTCTTTGGGTTTAGGTATCTTGGATTTAAAGCGCCTTTTAAACCGCTGTTGTATGGTCTTATTTAGGGAGACAAGTAAATACTCGCAATATTCCGTTTTATTAATAATTTTAAAACACGGGGTAAATTTTTTTAACCACGTAGAGACCTTGCAGAACAAACCGTTATTTTAATTCGTAAACAAAAGCAATTGGCTAATTGGGTGCAGCATTTGCTACAGCATTGCCACATTTAATAAGTTGAGCAGCGCCTCTAGCGATCAAATGGTGAAGTTGAATTTTATAAATATATTAAAAGCAACTACAAATATATATTTGTGCATTTAAATTTATATTTAAAAATATAAATATAAAAAAATAAATATATATTTGGTAAAAAATAAATATATATTCAAAAGTATATATATATATATATATTGGAGAGTTTAATTATGGCACAAACGGCGCCTCATAGTTACAGCTGTATAATATATATTATACAATGAAGGACAATACATTACATTTTATAAATATTTACAATCATAATTAAAAAAGTATGACAATATTTATTAATATCATTAACGACTTCTAATAAAATCCAGATAATTATCTATTTGAAGTTGTGGTTAAGCGGTTTTTGGAAATTACAATTTAAACTAATATGCAAATAGAAAAAATGTTTATTGCCAACATTAAAAAACGCAAAGAATGAAAATACATTTTTTAAATAACTTACGTATCATCATCGGCCTTTAGAAACCAGTCGGCCTGATCGTAGTAATTTTTGTAAACGTATCGAAAAGCCTCTTTCGTTTTGCCCCACAAATTGTCTCTACCCTCTCGCACGGGTAACGCTATAGCTGGCAACGTTGCATCTGAAACAATAGCAAAATGTGCAACAATTCTCCACGAGTTGCAAATAATATTTTCTCCACTAACGCTGTGGAAAATTAAATGAAAACAATTTTGTAGTGTGACTTGACCTTAACGGAATTGTTAACAGATCAGTGTTTTTGTTTTGTTTAAGTTTTTTACATTTACGTTTTGTCAATTTTGGATTAAAACAATAAAGAAAATCTTTTTTCAAGACGATTAATACTAAAAGGATCGTTGACCTGCAGACACGACCCATAAAACCCAACGAATAATTTTGAATAGTTAACAATGCTTGGACGTAAATAACACATTCAATATCACACTTAATACGATGCACTAATTAGCTGAATTGCATTTGAGCGTTACAAATCCAAATAAATCTGTTTTAACGTAAAACGGGGCGAGAAAAATTTAATTTTGGAAGCTTTGTTTCAAGTAAATAAACATGTGTTTTTTAATAAACTTAACAAATTAAAAATTGTTTTATTAGGGCATTTACTTGTAACAATATATTGCTTTAATAGCGTGTAATTGATGTTCAGACAGAGCTGTAATTATATAACTATCATCCTTAAAATAAATGTGTGTGGTATTGCCGGCGGAATATTGATTAAAAAGTTTCCGGTTCTGAAAGAAAACAACTGCAGTCCAACTATAATAGTTATAGGATATTGATTTAAGTAATTTTATATCTGACGACATTGTCTTGTAAATTATTTTATTTATTATTTACTATTATTTGTAACTTATTCAATACAACTGTAATTTGATAAACGCCATTTTAGTCACGAATCTAATTTAGGCTTAATTAAATAAGTGCCTAGAAAAGTTTATACCATACTTTATCTACGACGAATACTTAATATTATCTAAAAAATAATTTAAATTAAATATTTGTATGAAGCGACATCTTTACGAAAATAAAGTAACCATCCCAATACACATTTTTGACGTAATTTTCACCATTAACATTGCCCGTTATTATTTTAATTAAACTTAGCAATTATTGATAAAGTATAACTTCAAAATATGATTATGTTTAAAAATATGTTATCCTTTGATTTTTTTATTACTATAATTGCAAAATATTATCACAAAGCATTACAAATTCTTAAACGGTACAAAAAGTGAGTTGTGTTTATTGGAATTCCCGTTAGAATTTCTAACTTGGGAATCTACCGGCGCACAGTGTTTCAATTCTCGAAATTTTCGGCAAAATATCAAGAAGTAGTCGGATTCTCCTAATAATCCGTATATAGAGGTTTTTGGGGTCGCTGATAACGAATCTGGAATCAGAATTCCAAAATTCAAAATGGTAGATCCAAAATGGCGGACATATTTGTAAAAAAAATTGACGAAATTAATTGAAAATCACCATACAGGGGTTTTTGTGGTCGCTGATAATGAATCTGGAATCAGAATTCCAAAATTAAAAATGGTGGACCTCAAATGGCGGACATTTTCATCAAATATTGTCGAAATTAATTAAAAACCCGTAAGAGGTTCTTTTTAAAATGTAATAAAACATATTTTTATAATATAGCTTAATTTAGTTTATTATAATTACATTTATATGATATTATTTAATACCTACATTAGGGTGAGCAAAAAAAACTAACCTATCGGATTTATGGGTTAAAATGAACCTACATCCGAGCAAAAAAATTCCCTGCAAGGCAAAATTTTTTGCTCAATTTTAAAAGGTGTCGGTGAGCATTCTAAGTTTTCCATTGAAATTTATTTATAACCCGTAAAAAAATCTTTTTATAACCCGTAAAAAAATCTTTTTTCATTAAAAAGACTATAACTTTTGAACCGTTTGAGATAAAATTTTTTACGTCGCGGATTCTTGTATACATGTAGAGCATAAAATTTCCCAAAGAATCTATACCAGGATTATTTTTTTTAATTCAAAAATTCGTATGTTTGAAAGCTTTGAAAAGTGTAAAAATCACTAAAACTGCAATTTTGCCTTGCAGGGAAATTTTTTGCTCGGTATGTAGGTTCATTTTAACCCATAAATCCGATAAGTTAGTTAGTTTTTTTGGCTCACCCTAACCTACATATATATTAAACAATCTCCGTCACTGGATTCGCTCGTTGTATCATTAGCAGAGCATGGGAAACCATAAGAAGATAGCAACAGTTTTATTGCTTCGCGGGACAAAGATTTGCTCTTTTTCGGAGCAATTTTTCTGAAGCTAGAAATATACGGGTCGGAAGATGCCATAAGCCAATGGAAAACATCTTCCATCGTTTTCTCCCGAGAAACTTTCAAAATTTATTTATAAAATTTAAATATAACAGATTTTATACTAAGTATTTTAAATTTGTATTATTTATTTTACTTAATATTTTAGCAACGATTTCTTAATTCGCTAAAAAAATTGTCAACACAAATAACCACAATTCAAATTTGACATTAACACATGCGGAGTTGTTTTAACGCACCTTCAAGAGGTGGGTTAAATATGTAAAATCGGTGTTAAATATCTTAGTAGTCACGAACGATTTAGGCAAGTGCGCTGTTGTAATAAACGTTTTGAGTTAAATCCGAGTGAATCGAGTAAACGTCATGAACGCAACCCAGAAATAAAAAAAATCTTATATTTTTTAAAGCAAAAATACAGATACGCACTCGACATAGGCTTAAAATCGCGAGGTTTTTTTACCACAACCGTGCCTGAGCGCCCAAGAACATGTAGTTTTAAAGAGCCGGGGGCAAGTTGGGGCAAATAATTTATTGATGGCTTGATAGACAAAACTCTAAGCTATTCAACGGATCTTGAACTGTAAAAGCAAAATCTACGAAAAACAAATACATATCTGAATTTTAGATACCTTGAAGATCACCCAATAAACAATTTTCCGCAGCGATCGCGTGTAAGGTACCTTCAACTGAAAGCATCAAGTTTAAACTGATGTACAAGATAAAATATACATATTTTTAGGGATCGACCGATACCGATATACTATATCGGTATATCGGTATATCGGCCTATTTTTGGTATATCGGTATATCGGCCTATCGGCCTAAATTTGGCCGATATGTCGGCCGATATTTAAATTTGAAAACGCTTCTTAAAAACACTTAAAAATTATATTCAGAATGATCTTGAAATATAGAAAAATCAAAAATCATATAAAAGTATTATCTTTTATTTATAACAAAACAAAAAATAAATAAACAAAAAAATTCTTAATTAAAAAAAAAACAAAAAATATTCGAAAGCAGTTTTAAAATTATTGAATTAATTATTAATTATAATTAATAATTAATTCAATAATTTTAAAACTAATAAATAATAATAAAATAATTATTAATACTTAAAATTAAGTTTTTCTAAATTTTAATGAAGAAAAATAAGGCTTTTTACCCTGTCGGGTGTTAGCCGATTCCTCGCCGATTGGTAAATATTACCGGCTTGCGAAAAAAGCTGCTCACTAGCAACACTTCCAGCAGGCGCAGAAAGATAAATCTTGACCAGCAAATACAAGGCCGGGAACAGGTCTTTTTTATTATTCCACCAACTAAAAGGATTTTCAGTTTTTTCAAGCACCAAGCACGACCTGTAGCCCTTCATTTCTTCCTCGATCTTTGTAGGTTCAGCTTTTAAAGAAGAGGGACCTTTTGCCAATTCATTATAAACTGACCAAAATAGCTCGTGGGAATCGCGGGTGGTTTCATCACTTTTCTTTTTTTTTTAGATGGTGGTGGTGTTGCACTAGCAGTTGATGAAATCAAAGTTGCCAATGATACATCTTCATTACTACTGTCATTTTTGTCACTCCCAACCACTTCGACGTCGTACTTTTGGATAATTTCGTATTCTCTTTTAAGGTCCGCAATAACAATTTTGCATTTGTTAGGTGAAAAAAAAATTCATTTAAAGCGCGGTATCAGGAACGTGGCAAACAACAGATAATTTTTTGAAGTTGCATCTTTGAAACGAAGCTTCAAATTATTTTTTAATTCGTACTTCATTGTTCCGACGCCAGCGAAATTGCTTCCTTCACTGTCCAAATAAGCTTCAAGTGTTGAAACGAGTGGGATAGCTTCCGATATGCAAAAGTTTGAGTGACTGACGATTTTTGTGATCTCTTCAAAGGGCTTCAATAGATTGATGAGGCTCTGTACCAGTTCCCACTCATGATAGTTCAAATCAGTCAAATTTGGATTGTTCACAATGAAGAGATTGATAGCTTTTTTCAATTCCAAGAGGCGCTCCAACATATAATACTCGGAGTTCCAACGAGTGCTGACGGCTTGAATCATTTTTTTTGGTCCCATGTTTAGTTGTACTTGTATTTTATCAAAAGTAGTGCTTTTATTTTGGTCATGACATTCAACTTAATTCACGTATCGAAAAACAAAGAACTTTGTCTATGAGAACAACAAACACAACAGCCGTTTGACAAGCGCATGGCCCGTTACCACGCGATAATCACGTGGTGGACACGGTTTTTATTGGTCAATTCGGAGGTGTCCACGCCTACCGAAATTTTCTAGGGCACATTCAGTCATTAATTTTTTTGCAAAGTATTTTACGAAAAAATCAAAAATAAATAATAATTAAAAAATAAAAATGAGGCCGATATATCGGTATCGGCCGATATAGATATCGCATATATCGGTATCGGCCGATAATCGGTATCGGCCAAAAAATCCATATCGGTCGATCCCTACATATTTTATATAACTTTTTTTCAATACAGGATGGAGACAGGTATTAACTACCCATCTAACTCAAAATTTACCTGAAAAAAACAATCAATTTTTGAGGTTTTGCCGATATTTTCCAGAATTGAAACACTGTGCGGCGTTAAAATCTCAAATTTTTCTGTGTAAATCAAAATTTATCTCTTGAAAATAGACTAACATTCGATATATATAGAAGCAGTTTTTCACAGTAAAAGAGGAGAGAATGTTTTATGGGCACTGTACGCAAATGTTTTAATGCTCAATCAGTTAAATCTAGTTAAAACGGCGAAATCAAAAGGTCAGCACAAACGTTCATATAGTCTTTTTAAATATTGGCGTCAAGAAACTATTTAATAGGTTTATATTGAGATAATAAAATAATTTTGAAAATAAAAATTTTCACATTTAGTATTATTTTACAAGAAAGGCACTTTCTTTTAACAATTTTATGACATTTGAAAACTGCCAACTAACTTAAAGCTAACTTCAGCCCGTGACTAAAAACCTGTTGCTAACTTCAGCCCGTGACTAAAGCGCCATAAAGCCACAACAGGATTCTATCTGACGAATTGTACATTTTGTGGTATAAAAGTTTGAAATTCAATTGTTGGAAAACATACTTGCAGCCTAAAATTCGAGAAAACGTGAACTTATCTTTATCTTTAAAAACGTAGAAAATGGTAAAAAAATTCTAAAATGGTCAAAAATATTTAAATTGGATGTTGAAGGTACCTACTTCTATCGGTTTGGCAAAAGTGCAGTAAACAAAAATAAATATAGTATCTAATAATCTCGACTAAAAAAAATGGTTAAAAATTTCAACAGCGGTCAAGAACGGTAAAAATTGGAAAATAGCCGAAAATGGTCAAAAATTTAAAAAACTGAAAAACGTCATAAATGGTCGAAAATACCACCAAAATTGGTAAAAAAAGTCAAAACAGTAAAAAACATCAAAAACGGTCGAAAATGGTCAGAAACTGTTGCTAACTTCAGTACGATAATGGACGTTTTAAAGGGGGGAGTAGAAAAAAATAATTATTTTTTAATGTAAATTTAAAAAAACATTATAAAAATGTTATATCAAATTAACAACAAAGTAAAACGATATGAAGCTAAAAATATGACAAGTTAAAATAACAAAAAGCTTAAGTATACTTATACGACAAGTTAAAAAACGTTAAAATTACTCGAACCTAAAAGATGACAAATCAAAATCACAACACCCGACCAAAAAATGGCGTATTAATGTATATTAAAAAAATTACCTTCTTCGGAGCTCATGAACAAGAGCACGTTGCAGCGCTTGCCCCACGTGGCCTTGACGTGCTTGGCGCGCTTCTCGTGGTTCTTGGGCCCCGTCATCACCCAACACAGCACCCGAACTTCGCCGAACATGCGGTCGGCCACCGTCGAGTCCTCCATCGCGTGGAACTCCTCGTTGTCGGAGTGGGCGCCGGGGTCCACGGTGGGCCCCGATAGGCCCTCCATCTCGTAGCTGAAGTGCGGGTCCGCGAACAGGCCTCGGGGCGTTAGGGCGACGTAGGCTACGGTGAAGCCTGTCACTACCCCCACCAGCATGGCCAGCAGGAACTGTTTGTTGACGGACGGCCTAGAAAAAACACCATAGCTTTTAGAACTTTTAAGGAAAGCAAAGATTACTAAATGCTATACTGACGACAACTATAAACTAAAATATGGAGAACTAATGACGAAAAGTTAATAAGTCCGCAAGTAAAAATGACGACAAGCTGAAATAACGACATGACCACAAGTTAATATAACGACAAGATAACAATGTGCTATAGGTACAGACAAGCTAAAATAACAATCTGAAATAAGGACAACTAAACTAGAAACGATAACCTTAAGTAATGACGAAAACTTAAAAAGGTCGCAAGCAAAAATGACGACAAGCTAAAATAACGACAAGCTAAGATGCTATACAGACGTTAAAATAACAACTAAAAACTAAAATTACATCAAGCAAAAATAAGGACAACTAAAGACAAGTCAATAAGGTCGCAAGTAAAAATGACAAGCTAAAATAACGACATGAACACAAGTTAAAATAACGACAAGCTAAGATGACAATATGCTATTCAGACGACAAGCTAAAATGACAAGTTAAAATAACAACTAAAAACTAAAATTACATCAACCTAAAGGACAACTAAACTGGAGACAATTTAAAATGACCACAAGCTAAAATAACGACAAGCTTAAGTAATGACGAAAAGTTAAAAAGGTCACAAGTAAAAATGACGACTAGCTAAAATAACTACATGACCACAAGTTAAAATAACGACAATCTAAGATGACAATATGCCATACAGATTACAAGTTTAAATGACAACTAAAAACCCAGGCAACACAGGGTCGTAGAAATCACGTAGAATCGTCGACGAATTGGGTCGAATTTGGTCGAAGTTACATTTCAACCATTTTTCGACGTCTCAAAATTCACCAAAACACGACCAATTATTAACTTAGGTCGATGATAACCAATAAATGACGTCATTATCACGTGAACAGATGACGAAATTTTTAAGAAAATATGAAAATATAGTGATAATTAATAAGGAACAGTTGGCCCGTTTTAATGGGCCGACAAAAAGTTTTGGAATATTTTTAAAAACAAAACTTATTATTTTTATTTAATTTAAGTTATTTCGACGGAGAATCAACGTGGTTTTAAACTAATTAAGATAGATTAATAATTATTGATCCATTATTGGATTTTTTAAAACAAATTCGCGATTTTTAAATCCTTTATCATTTCATCACAAAATAATTCGATAATTGTAACATAATTTAATCCGCCGCGTAGTTTTGCTTGTTTTTATACAATTTTTGTTTTGATAATTTTATATAATTTTCTGTAAATTTGATCATTTTGTCAACCCTCTTCGATAATATTAATTTTTACACCTGGCAACCCTGTTTCTCTTTGACACTACTTACAAAGCGAGGGAACGTTTCTGTGGGTAAAAGGCATAAGGGGATAAGTCAAAAAAAGGAATTTTTCAATAGAGCCTTTAACGTGATCGCATTAATTCAGGAAATATATTTATGTTTAGCGGGTATACGCTTTTGTTAGCATATGACATGTGGTAACAAAAGGGTATACCCGCTAACCATAAATATGTTTCCTGAATTAATGCGAATTCGTTTAAGGCTCTACTGAAAAATTGCTTTTTTTGACTTATCCCCTTATGCCTTTTACCCACAGGTTTATTCCTAAAAAACAATATGGTTGATTCAAGCGTCCAACTTTTATAATCTGTGGTATTTATACAAAGAACAAACCATTTATACTGATAATACTTTGGCTGTGTAAGGTAGGTCAATTTTTGTTTGTTTATTAATGTTTTAATTACTCAGTATATTCCGTAACGAAGTCATAACACCTAAATGAAGTACCTACATAAGCCCCTAAAATATTGACCTGTCATCTGTCTTAAAATTTAATGTGTTTGATTTTATAATAAATGTTTTGAGCAACTTAAAACATGTTTTATTAATTATTAAACCAAAAGCCCTTTATGCACTAGTAAAAATAGTTATTTATTCTTATATCCGATATTTTAATGCCATACATATGTATGTGTTTCTGCAAAGATTAACTAACAATTTTTTTTTGTTATTCTACTTTTTTACATACATTTATTTTGAGTATTAATTATTTACTAAATATATATCTACTATAGTAGTATATATATACTATATATAGTAGGGTTTACCTATTTATTTCTTAAAATTTAAAAGTGCAATTAAAAATTTTTTGTTTTTTTAATTTTGACAAAAGCACATTTCGCATTGAAATATCTGATATCAGTATCGGTAATTATTTTTATCAGTGTATGACCTAATCATATATTATTCAAGAAATAGTACGTGATTATTACGTAAATAATTACGTAATATTACGTGATTTTACACGTGAAATCGCTGTGACATATTGTCGTCAATTTTACGACGATAAGACGTTTCTAAGTTGGTGACTTCGACGTCACCGTAGACGTAAATTAAACGTGATATTCACGTCACTGTGTTGCCTGGGAACTAAAATTACATTAAGCTGAAATAAGGTTAACTAAACTGGAAACAAGTTAAAATGAACACAAGCTAAAACCACTACAAGCTTAAGTAATGACGAAAAGTTTAAAAGGTCGCAAGTAAAAATGACGACAAGCTAAAATAACGACATGACCACAACTTAAAAATTTTAATAAGGACAAGCTAAGATGACAAGATGTTATATAGACGACAAACTGAAATGACAAGTTAAAATAACGACTAAAAACTAAAATTACATCAAGCTAAAATAAGGACAACTAAATTTAATTAAGTTAAAATGACCACAAGCTAAAGTAAGGACAAGCTTAAGTAATGACGAAAAGTTAAAAAGGTCACAAGTTAAAATAACATGACATGACCACAAGTTAAAATAACAACAAGCTAAGATGACATTATACTATACAGACGACAAGCTAAAATGACAAGTTAAAGAACAACTAAAAACCAAGCTAAAATAAGGACAACTAAACTGGAAACAAGTTAAAACCACGACAAGCTTAAGTAATGACCGCAAGTTAAAAAGGTCGCAAGCAAAAATGACCGCAAGTTAAAATAACGACATGACCACAAATTAAAATAAAGACAAGATTAAATAACAATTTAAAATGATATTAAGCTAAAATAATTACAAAACAAATGACCAAATGTTTAAAAAGTACAAACTAAAATGGAGAAAAATTAAATAATGACGAGATAAAGATACGACAAACTTATTAATGACATTTCATCATGACGATAAGCAAAAGCGACAAGTTAAAAATTATAAGATTATCATTAAAATTTTTGGAGGTACGTAAAATATAAAAAGTTTTTGTACAAAACATTATTGTGCCTAGAGCCTTTTCTTATTAAATATGGGAAACCATTACTATTATTATTTTTTGTTTATAATTATTAAGTATTGAAAAATAAAATGAACATGAAGTTAGCAAAACATCCATCGCCAATTAAGAACCGATTAGGTGCATAATTTGCCGTTAATTTGTCGTTAATTAGTGAAAAAATTAATTTTGTCGTTCGAATATTTCTTTGTTTTTATGGGTGCTTTGCAAACTTCATATAAAGTTAGCAAGGCACCCCCTTAAATATATGATTATTTTTTTTTAATAGTAAATATTTTGCCGTTAATTTGTCGCTAATTAGTTGTGAATAAATTAATTTTGTCGTTTGAATATTTCTTTGTTTTTATGGGTGCTTTGCCAACTTGATATAAAGTTAGCAAGGCACCCCCATCAAATATGTGACATATATTTTTTTTAATACTTAATATTTTGCCGTTAATTTGTCGCTAATTAATTGTGAATAAATTAATTTTGTCGTTTGATTATTTTTTTGTTTTATGGGTGCTTTGCCAACTTCATATAAAGTTAGCAAGGCACCCCCATTAAATATGTGATACTTTTTTTTGAATAGTTAATATTTTGCCGTTAATTTCGCGCTAATTAGAATGTTAAAAAAATGTAATTACATATTTAAGGGGGTAGGTACCTTGCTAACTTTATATGAAGTTAGCAAAGCAGCCGAAAAAACAAAAAATAATCTTACGACAAAATGAATTTATTCACAACTAATTAGCGACAAATTAACGTAAAAATATTAACTTAAAAAAAAATTTTTTGTTTTTTCGGCTGCTTTGCTAACTTTATATGAAGTTAGCAAGGCACCCCCCTTAAATATGTGATTAATTTTTTTTAATAGTTAATATTTTGCCATTAATTTATCGCTAATTAGTTGTGAATAAATTAATTTTGTCGTTCGAATATTTCTTTGTTTTATGAAGTTAGCAAGGCACCCCCTTAAATATGTGATTATTTTTTTTTAGTAGTTAATATTTTGCCGTTAATTTGTCGCTAATTAGTTGTAAATAAATTAATTTTGTCGTTCGAATATTTCTTTGTTTTATGAAGTTAGCAAGGCACCCCCCTTAAATATGTGATTATTTTTTTTTTAATAGTTAATATTTTGCCGTTAATTTGTCGCTAATTAGTTGTGAATAAATTAATTTTGTCGTTCGAATATTTCTTTGTTTTATGGGTGCTTTGCCAACTTCATATAAAGTTAGCCAGGCACCCCCTTAAATATGTGATTAAATTTTTTTTAATAGTAATTATATGCCGTTAATTTGTCGCTAAGTAGTTGTGAATAAATTAATTTTGTCGTTCGAATATTTCTTTGTTTTTATGGGTGCTTTGCCAACTTCATATAAAGTTAGCAAGGACCCCCATCAAATATGTGATATATATATTTTTTAATACTTACCTAATATTTTGCCGTTAATTTGTCGCTAATTAATTGTGAATTAATTAATTTTGTCGTTTGATTATTTTTTTGTTTTATGGGTGCTTTGCCAACTTCATATAAAGTTAGCAAGGCACCCCCATTAAATATGTGATACTTTTTTTTGAATAGTTAATATTTTGCCGTTAATTTCGCGCTAATTAGAATGTTAAAAAAATGTAATTACATATTTAAGGGGGTAGGTACCTTGCTAACTTTATATGAAGTTAGCAAAGCAGCCGAAAAAACAAAAAA